CGATTGAACTGTGACCCAATCACATTTTAAATGCCTGCAATTTTATTTTATTTTTGAGTATGAATCTGCGAAAGCACTGTACATAAATAGGGTCATCAAGGGCTCTGCCTGTAACCCTTCAATATACATACATATACATATAGTTCAGTCCTAACTATGGCCGATAAAATGTGTGGCCCCTCGACTGAGGAGGGTAGGGGGGGGGTTAGCGGGGAAAAGGAGGAGGTGGAGGACAAGGAGGAGGAGGAGGAGGGGGCGGAGGAGGATGAGGAGGAGAAGGAAGAAGAGGAAGAGGGGGAGGAGGAGTAGGGGAAGACTTTGTTTGGGAAGCAAGCGTTCGATCAAATGAAGAGTTAGGTCCTCGAATGAAGACGAACTAAAAGAACTAAGAAAGGAAGGACGCTTTAATCAGGTCGTCAGTCTCCAGTTTGCAGTCTGCAGATCTAAGAGCGGCGATCAATTCCTGGGTCCTTTTAGTGTTCCGTATACAGTCGTCAAGAATTTTGGAGTGTTCCAACGAATTCTACAGGATGTTCAGTTCGAACTTGCTTTGCAGCTGGGAAACCTCACTTTCGCAAATTTTGCTTTGTTGTTTATATTCCCGTAAGTGCTCTTTGGAGCCAGTTAGTCTGCAACCCCACTAAAAGCAGTCTCTTTTTGAAAGAGGCCTGCGAGTATGAGTTTGTCTACTAAGGGCGGGTTAAAATTGTCTTTCTTCTGGGACCACAGCTGGGATAAATAGTCCCTTTCAGTAAGGAACTCAAGGTCTTCTAATTTTAATTTGCTCTACCGTACAGTTCTGTCACCCATAATACCGCTGACACTTCTTTCCTTATGAGTGAATATTTTCCCTTCCAAACGTTCTATCCTACATATCAGGCACAATTAGTCTGAAAAAGAATGAATGTTCAAAGTACAGCGTAATGTGGTCGTTTGATCCTATTGGCAGTCGTCCCTGCAGGTCTTGCACAATGTCCTCTCGGGCAAATTTAAGATCAAAGCAGATCGACTGTTGTCCTTCCGTGGCCCGCATTTCAAAGGTATCTTTCTGTCAGATAAGTTTTGCCGTTATCCATTGTAGTAGCTGCTGATTAAGGTCATCTTGCAACCACCGCGTAGTCCATGCCTGCCAGTCAATATCACGAGCGCTAAAATCCCCAACGACAAGGAACCCTTCTTCTCACCGACATTTTACAGTTCGCTTATAAGAATGTGAATGATACATCAGTGATATTTCGACTGATCTCAGAACTTCGCAAACATATATTTATGGTGATGACCTTAAGTGAATTTACTCAAATTTTAAGAGCACCGGAAATGTCTGCGTCGAAAAAACTGATGTCGATTTACTACGCCAACCGAAATGAAATTCACCAAGACAGATGGAGTTTATAAAGTCCAAATGTGTGTACATGTCTTTCGACCTGTCAAGCTCTCTGGTCCCATGATTTTTCAGAATAACCCACTCTTATCTTGATTCACCATAAAGTACCTAGGTTAAAGTTGTACAAAAAGCTCACTGTATCATCTCACAGAGATGGTCTCTGCGAAAGCTTCTTAGATATGTGGGTTCGTATCACATGATATTTTATTTCCGGAAAAAAACCAATGCTTTGTCAAATGTTTGTTCTTCCCGTCGTCGGATAATTCTGTCCTTTCTTTGGTTTAATGAATGTTTGCGTCCGTAGCGCAATGTAAAATCTTCAGGGTTCTTGCTCGAAAACTCTCCTTTTAATCTGGAGCCCGAATTTATTATAGTGAGAAATTTTAAATGGAAAACATTACGTTTTCATTTATTAGAAGACTCGAAGCCGGCCTTTGCTTCCTTTTCGCATTGATTCTAGCTGTATTCTTCCGCGCATGGGCCATCCTCACTCCGATAGACTGGTCTCATGCCGCGTGCAGTTTCTCCAAGGTTACTTAGGCGCCTCTTTGCTCTACTTCTAAATTCTCTCTCTTTGCATCCAAATATATTTCCTTTGGAATGATATTCAACCAGAACTTAGGCCATTGTCCAGGCTATCGGTATTCAAATAGAAATATTGCAAACACCTTACCCCGGAAACGTTTCGTTTATAAAAATCAGACTCTGTACTTTGAGAATGGTATTCCTAAGATTCAGTGGCTAATAACACATGCCCTGCTTGTTCAAATGGAAACTCTTCACTAGATTTTTACAATTCTCCATTTTTAATTGACTGGCAAATCCACTGCTCTTACTCCTTTCTTGTAGCAAAGATTTTCACGGACATTAATGTAAGCTCCTCGTTTCAACCTCGAGAGATCTATTAGCGGACACGACTGCTTGCTCTGTTTTCATCATCGGCCAAGAGTTTGGTCGTTCAGCAAAGAAGTGTCATGGCTGCATCTACCCCTCATTTTCTGATTCTTACAGACTTCAAAATCACCTCCTCGCTTGGATTCTGAGCGGACTGTGACCGACCACAGAGGGTTCCTCCTGTTTTTCTAGCTTGACGATTGCTTCTGCTGTCATCCAAAAAATATTACGATCGTATCTGCAGCGAATAATCCCATCCTCCTTAAGAATTCTACCTTGACGAGAAACGTGCGGGTTCCTTATATATTCTCACTTTTAGGGGGATCCTGTCTCATATGCATATTTAACTCCCAATGAGCGACTGTTCTTTATCCTCAAAAACTAATCAAAACACATTCATTTGGTGTTTTCAATCGAATTTAAAAGACTCTTCTGTTCACTGATCGCCAACCGTTCTTCATATGAGAATGCTTATTTTATAAACCCAAAAGAAATCCTGTACTCGTTGTAAAATGCACTCGAAAATGTGTTTTTTCTCCCCACGAATGCTCACTTATGGGTGCTAATTAAAACAATTCATCTATCCTTTGGCATTTACTTATCTTCTCACTGTGCCAGAATATCAAAGAGAACGTGGGCATTCTCGGTGCTTTCAGAAGGCCGATGTTCAATATTTGCAAAGAGCTTCTTGGTGGAGTGTCTGGAAAATGTGTTCGGCCGATCTTGGAATACTGCAATTGGGCATGACGCAATTGATGGAAAAATAAGATAGCCTCGGTGAACGCACAAGAAAGAGCGACCAAATTAGTCAGCGGGGTGAAATGCATTCTTTATAAGAACCTGGAAATGCCTTAAAGGGGGAAATAGTTGTGTTATTCAAGGTCGTCAAAGCACAGCTGAAGAGAAGCTACGCCAACCTTGAAATACGGACCAGTTTCTTCTCTCACCAGACTACTGAATCTTAGAATATACTAACGAACTGGGTTGTCTTGGCGGTAAACGTTGAAAAATTTAAAAAAACGACTGGATAAACATTTCTAATAATAATAATGATTTTATTTAATGCCATTTTACCGGCATTGTCAGGGGAGCGTTAAAAACGAATCCGGCCAGTAGTGAAAAAACTCCTGTCAAAATAGCATAACAATGAAGTTGGTGATTTTTATGGTTTGGAGAGTCCAAGAGAAAAGAAAACTGCTGACCGCAAACTGCCGACAGTCAAGAAGGGAGGGGTTGCACGGTATCAGATATTATCAGTCCCTCATTCTTTTCAGGAAATTGGGGCTGGTCCACAGAGAAGCGCCAAAGAACAGCTGTCTCTGTTAGCCGTAGAAATTGTCCCTGGTTAGGCTGGTCATAGTGATCAGAGACCACAAGCGCCATCGCTACGGTATGGTCGATCAGTGGACTCAGCAGCCAAAATTTGTGGGAGTTTTTCTGGTTTTTCCTGGGAGTTTATTTGGTTGACCGCATGATTAAACGACATCAATATTCTTCCACTTATGCGCAAGCATGATTCTGTTTTCCACTCCTGTATCAGAAAATAGGATTCTCCAAGGCTCTGTAAACTTCTCTTTGTATACCAAATCATAGCAACAATGCAATTTGTATGGCGGACGGGGGACGTAAAGTAGTAGTGATCGGCATAAAACGGCGGAGTTTCTGCAGCCCGTGAATAATATTTCAGATATAATAGTTGCAAATCTCAGATTGAAGGCATATTTTAAAATAACGAGCCATGGACGGGTATCAGAGTGAGACAGCAGGAGAACGACCAGGGAATATTAAGGAAACGCTCTGGTTTCCGGTAGAGTTCGGGGCAAAAGAGTGTGTGCCGAGGCGCCAGACTATCTTGCCTTTCCCTACCTGTTCCTCATTCTTGAACTTACTGGTTGTTTAACTGAATGGAATGAACACAACTCGACGCGACGCGCTTGGCATGAGTGGGATTGTCAGGTCGTTTGAATTTTGATTATTAATTCTTCCATAACTCTGGTCTTATCCTGATTTTTATAGTCTGGGATTGACGGTTCTGTCTTTAACACTCGCTACAGTGGTGACCCTTGACGTTCACGCTTATACCTTTAATTAGTCGACTTCCAATTTGCATACCGACCGTTTGCCTTCTTTCTTTCTACAATCATGTCCTCTACAAATTCCAATGATCCCACTTCATCTCTTAATGGACTTGTTTCTTCCCTCCCAGACTTTTGGCAACATGCGCCAGAGCTTTATTTTTTCCGTATTGAGGCGACTTTTCACTCCGCCAAGATAACACGTGAAACCGACAAGTTTTATAAGCTGGTCGAGGCCCTCCCTCCCACCATTCTTTCTCAAGTGCAAACGCTTCTGAGAGATCCCCCGACTGATGCTCTTTACACCAAGTTAAAGGCTGAACTTCTTCGCCTGACATCAGTCTCCGATCGGCAGCGTTATCACGCACTAGTAAAAGAGGAGGCCTTAGGTGATCGCAAGCCGTCGGAACTCTTGCGTCGCATGCGTTCTCTGGTTGGGAACATGAAAATCGACGACAAGTTCTTTAAAGAGATGTTCCTAGAACGTCTGCCGATGTCTGTACAAACAATCTTGGCCTCTGGCTCCGACGACCTAGAAATATCAAAGTTAGCGGAGATGGCTGACCGTATGATGGAGGTTGAGCGTTTGTCATCCCCGACGATTGCTCAGGTGTCCCAGCCTCTCAACGTGTCCACCCCTGACCTTGCTGAACTAAAGACGCAGATTACCCAGTTGTCAGCGACTGTTGCCGCTTTGCAGCTGCGCCGATTCCCCGGTCCCTCTCGACGTTCCTTCGGTCGTGACCGTCGTCGTTCCCGCTCTCGCCCCAGGACCGCCAACCTATGTTGGTATCATGTCAACTATGGCGATAAGGCGCGGCGCTGTGTCCCACCCTGCTCCTTCAAGTCCACGCAGGGAAACTCCTCGGCCGGAGAGTAAACGCGGCCGAGCTCTCTGGCAACTCTACGGGTCGCACATTTTACGTGTGTGATAACACGAGTGGCAGGCATTTTTTAGTCGACACTGACGCTCAGATTAGTGTTATCCCTCCCACGCCAGCGGACCGACGTTGCCCAAACCATGGTCTTTACCTTCAGGCTGTAAACTCATCCCCCATTACAACCTTTGGATTTCGATCCCTCTCCCTGGATATCGGCCTCCGGCGATTATTCCCCTGGATATTTGTGGTTGCTGATGTTCCCACTGCTATCCTTGGTGCTGATTTTTTGGCCGCCTTTGACCTTCTGGTGGATTGCGGACAACTTAGCCTCCATGATCGCGCAACTACCCTCACTGTCAAAGGATTTCCTCCATCCTCAGTTTCTGGACAGCTCTCCGTCCTTGACCCAAACCCTGACTGTCCATTTCGTAGACTTTCAGCAAAATATCCCACCCTCACTAAGCCCCATTTTTCTGACACCTCATTTCCCCATGATATTGTTCATCATATAAAAACGACTGGTCCTCCCGTTTTTTCTCGTCCCCGCCGTCTTGCTCCCGCGCGTCTTGCGGCTGCTAAAGCAGAATTTGACCATATGCTGCAACTAGGGATTATTCGACAGTCTGACAGTCCCTGGGCATCTCCTTTGCACATGGTTCCTAAACCAAATACGGATGATTGGCGTCCTTGTGGCGATTATAGAGCCCTAAACAATATCACTATGCCCGATCGGTACCCCGTTCCTCATCTTCAGGACTTTGCTGGAGCCCTTTTCGGCAAAACAATTTTCTCGAAGATCGATTTGGTGCGGGCTTTTCATCAAATTCCGATTGCGGCCGAGGACATTCCCAAAACGGCAGTGACGACTCCTTTTGGCTTGTTCGAGTTCCTTCGTATGCCATTTGGTCTCCGAAATGCCTCACAAACTTTCCAACGTTTCATTGACCGTGTTTTACGCGGCCTTCCATTTGTTTATGCGTATATTTATGATGTTCTCGTCGCCAGTCGAGATGTGGAGGAACATCTCCATCACCTTACCCTGCTTTTCGACCGATTTCAGCAGTTTGGTGTCACCCTGCATCCTTCCAAATGTGTCCTAGGAGCCACTTCTCTTGAGTTCTTAGGTCACCTGATAGACTCAAACGGCATTCGGCCTCTTCCCTCAAAAGTTGCCGCCATTCGGGACTTTCCACCCTCTACCTCGAAGCGTCAGTTGCAACGGTTTCTTGGTATGGTGAACTTTTATCGCCGGTCTCTCCCGAACTGTGCCGATACCATCCTACCTCTGACCGATCTCCTCTCAGGTCCCAAACGCACCTTTGAACTTACATCAGCCGCACTCACGTCATTTGAGCAGGTAAAAGACCTTCTGGCTGACGCCACCCTCCTGACTCACTTTCACGCTGATGCACCCATATCTTTGATGGTCGATGTCTCCAATGTTGCTGTTGGCGCGGTTCTTCAACAAAGTCTGCCGGATTCTACCGTGCCTTTGGCTTTCTTCTCCAAGAAACTATCCAAAGCAGAAACCCGCTACAGCACATTCGGACGTGAACATCTCGCCGCTTATCTTGCCGTAAGGCACTTCCGGCATTTACTCGAAGGTCGAGAGTTCACAATTTTCACTGATCATAAGCCACTCACGTTTGCAATACATTCCCATTCTGACAAGCTAAGCCCCCGGGAGATCCGTCACCTGGACTACATTTCGCAGTTCACTTCAGACATCCGCCATATTGACGGGTCAAGGAATGAGGTGGCTGACGCACTCTCCAGGCCCTCTATTGCTCATCTTCAGCTTTCACCCGGGATAGACCTCGCTGAGATGGCCGCTGAAGAACGCCGTGTCGGTCCACCCTGTGATGAGGATGTTTCCGGACTCCAACTTCAGGAACTACCACTGACAACTGGCAATGGCACCATCTTATGCGACGTATCCACCCCTTCCCATCGTCCATTTGTGCCTCCATCTCTCCGCCGCAAAGTTTTCTCCTCCCTGCACAATCTGTCTCACCCCGGGAGTCGAGCAACCGACAAGCTGGTTTCCGACCGCTTCGTCTGGCCTGGTATGCACAAGGACCTGAAGGCATGGACACGGGCTTGCATTGCCTGTCAACGGAGCAAGATCCAGCGGCACAACAAGGCCCCCATTGGTACCTTCCACGGCCCTGGTGCAAGGTTCAGCCACGTTCACCTGGACATCGTAGGCCCCCTGCCTCTGTCCAATGGTTGTTCCTATATCCTCACCTGTGTGGATCGGTTCACTCGGTGGCCTGAAGCAATTCCCCTGCCTGACATTGCTGCTCCAACGGTGGTCAAGGCTTTTCTCAGTCGTTGGGTTGCTATCTTTGGTGCACCCTCCACAATCACTACTGACCGTGGTGCCCAATTTGAATCTAATCTCTTCCAGTCTTTACTCTCCTTTTTAGGCTGTACCCGCATCCGGACGACAGCCTATCACCCGGCTGCTAACGGGATGGTCGAGCGGTTTCACCGCCAGCTGAAGGCCTCCCTACGCGCCGCGGCCGATCCGGAGAACTGGACGGATCACCTTCCTCTGGTCCTCTTGGGCATCCGCTCCGCTCTCAAGCCGGACCTTGACTGTTCCGCAGCTAAACTGGTGTTCGGCTCCACCGTCCGTCTCCCCGGTGAGATGATCTCGCCAACCCCTCAAGGTGCAGTTGAGGATCCTACCAACCTCCTGCATCGTCTCCGGCAGTTTATGCGGACACTTTCTCCGGTTCCTCCCAGGTCCTCCGCCTCTCCGTCTTATCTCGAGAAGGACATGGCAACGTGCTCTCACGTCTACCTTCGATGTGATCGAGTCCGCCGGCCTCTGGAACCGCCCTATGACGGCCCATTTCGGGTGCTCTCTCGCGGGCCGAAGACTTTCCGCATTCAGCGCGACAATCGTGAAGAGGTCGTGAGTGTGGACTGCCTCAAGGCTGCCGTCCCTGACACTCCTCCGGATGAGCCCTGTGGTCCTCAACCTTCTGCTTCCCCCCACGGAGCCTCTATTCCACCGTCCCGTATTTTCCCCCTGCCCTCCTGTCCGCCATCTCCGACTGCCACCACCAACTCCAACACATCCGCCACCAGATTTATTCACTCTTCTACGGACCCTGCATATATCACTCGTAGTGGTCGTCATGTACACTTTCCTGATCGGTTGGTCACGCATTTCTTTTAGACCTGTACACATCCTTCGGCGTCGTTTTCGCCGGCCTCCGGTCTCGGAGGGGGGTACTGTGCCGAGGCGCCAGACTATCTTGCCTTTCCCTACCTGTTCCTCATTCTTGAACTTACTGGTTGTTTAACTGAATGGAATGAACACAACTCGACGCGACGCGCTTGGCATGAGTGGGATTGTCAGGTCGTTTGACTTTTGATTATTAATTCTTCCATAACTCTGGTCTTATCCTGATTTTTATAGTCTGGGATTGACGGTTCTGTCTTTAACACTCGCTACAAGTGGAGGGAGAGCCGCCGACTAGAAATGGTTTCCAGGGTGTCTCCAGTCTTTTGAATCCAATAACGCCTCTCCAAAAATCTTGTATGGAGCGCCCTGCGTACTGATGTTTTTGCAGCACTGTTAGAAGAGAAACACGTTCGTCCATCTTCTTGGCATTTCAAAATATCTTTAGTACGTTAACGTGGGTGCGATGTACCAGTGTTATTATTGTTCGTAGTGGTTCAGTTGCTTATAAATCCCTTTCATAGCACATTCTAATGAGCAATCTAGATTTTTAAGGTTCTTGCCTGTTGGCTTATTCTCCATCTTTAGCTGTGCTCTGCTTATCGCCACGACCACTTTCGTCCCTGTTTTAAATTTCTTTAAATTTCACTTGTGCGAAGACTGAATGCAAGCTTTCATGCGTCTTGGAAGAGGCGTATCCTGCTGCCTTAGGTTGTATCAACCATATTAGTTGTATATCCGTCATATTATAGAATGTCATCTACGAAAAATCCTCCTCCGGTTTTTGAATCTCTTTCCTACGAAATCGCACATGTGTACTTCAGAGCCTTTTTTAAGTTCCGCTAATATGCAAACATTTGCAAACCAATCTTCTGTAAGTTTAAAGCTCCTAATTAGTGAATAGCCTTGCCTCAACTCCATTGATTTATTTAATTGTTTAAATGGTTCTATTTTTCGCGGCGCCGTTTTCGAATTTCAAAAAACCCGCTTTGTGACGGTTGGGGCCCTCTCCTGGCTCCGTACATAACGGTAGGACTCCACTTTCTTGGTTTATATAGTATTCTCGAGTTCAATTTCAATAATCTTTTACCCGCTTGGAATTTATACTCATACACTGCCTGAACTTGTATCCGTCGTATCAGATAATTTTGGAGTTAAATTATGCGTCCCGATAGCACAGTAAATGATTGGCCGTGAAATAGCAGCATGATACTTAGCGGTTAGCATTTTGCTAGTCAAGTGACTAGGTTATTAAGTACAACCCGTGCTAGTCGCTCTGTTTTGCTGGCACGATGAATTTTCCCAAGTGGCTCTTATGCGAGCAATGCGGATATCCAAAGGGCTCAGCAGCCTATTCTGTTGGCCAGGTTTAGTTATGAGACCGTACAATACACGTGCAGTTCGCCTACACCCAATGCGCCCTGTACACTTCGAACAATCGGTGTGTACATAAATCCGTGAAACTTGCGACGCCCAAAGGTGTATGTGACATGACGAGCGTGAGTCGGCCGGTTTCTTCCCACCAAGGAGTCACGCAAAACAGCCATTTGCACAACAGTCCCAAAGCTACTTAACGGCAAAATATGAAGTGATAATTTTCCAGTGTGATAGCATCAGAGTGTTGCCACCTTATTTAATCTTCGTAGTTTACCGATTTTTCTGGAGTATGAGTAGAAAGAATCATTATTTTTCTTGGCCGAAATTTGACTGTGGATGAATCACCCTTGTTGGTGTTGGTCTGTTAGTATATAGTTCTTTAAACTCGACCCACCTGGACAAGTTTCGATTTAAGCTTAAGGGACGCGTCAGATTTTAGTCTTTTTCTCCCTTAGGTTAATTTATTCGCCCGCCTAATTGTGTGGCTATCGTGACACATCTGTCTGGGGTTTCAAAACTTTGCAGTTCGATGAGCGGTGACTGCTTAAAGTTCTTCACATTGGGCCATAAGAGGGAGGCCATTCAAGTAAGAGTACGTGTGCTCCAAGCGTTGTTTCAACCAGATATTCACCCAGCGTAAAAATCTTATGAAGAAGACTCCCTTTATTTGGAGCTTGTAGTCTATCCTCGATTTTGCTGCAACTGCTCATTGGAACGTGGAAATCCACCGCCAATCTAAGAAACTACTTGCAGTTAATGCATTAGCAAATGGTTCACTCGCATCCGCAAGCCGAAGAGGAGCTCTTTCGCTATGTCATCCCAGAATCCTTCTGAACTTAGATCCTCACCATCATGATGGTCACACAACGCGTCGACGCATCTTTCTAGGCCAGGCATGCGGCAGAGGCTGCCTCCGATTGTCTTCGGTGGCCGGACACGGGGTGTCATATGGACAACAATCTTCACGCGCCCAGCCAACGATCACAGTACATGAACTCTACTTCTTTGATGTTGTAAACTCCGGAGCCGGCCAATTTCTGCTCGTACTTGCGACCTAGTGCAAAATTATGATTTTTACCTGCCTCATGTCCACATCACA